AATTCATTTAATAAAGTTCACAATTTAATAATGTCTATGTCTAATTACAATATGGTAAGATAGCTGATAATGCTTAATACTTCTGATTGCACTTCTTTTTCTTGTCTTTAAAATCAATAATGTAAAACGTGTTTTATATACATAATCCATAAAACAAATTTCTGCGAATTCACTCAAAAAGAATGATAAAGAAATAAGGCACCACATTCACGTGATGCAGACAAGAAGCGGAAAGTGGCTGAAGAGGCTCATGAAGCGCGTTTAGCATATGATCAAAATAAGAAAAACAATAAGCAGCGTAAAGTAGCTGAAGAGACTCATGAAGAACTTGAGACGCGTTTGGTGGCTGAAAAGAAGGCTCGGTGTGCTCATGCACATAAAAAATATTTATTAAAAAAGTCTAGAGAAACTCCTCAATAACGCATCACAAGACTTTCTAAGAATAGGACAACTCTACGCCAAAAACGTGATATAGAAGGTGTTTCAACTTCAGATCAGAAACTTCTACACAAATTTCGCAATATAATTAGTAATTTGAGGAACAATCTCTGTATCAAGTGTAATGAGCGATTTTTATCCATTGTATTTGCTGGTAAAGAATGCCATCAATGCTGTAAAGAGAATAGGCCTAAAAGATTTTCTATTGAAAACAATATGGATCCAGGTGAAAGTAAAACATTTTTTCTTAATATAGACTTGAACTTGATGGACTCACGTGTTTTCACTTTTTTCTAGGCGAAGTTCCACAAGAACTTCAAGACTTGACTGATATAGAAGAGATGCTGATTGCACAAATATTTCCTGTCGTTTCAGTATATAATCTTCCTGGAGGACAGTATGCATATTGTGGAAATATTATTAATTTTTCGCAAGATATGCAGGAGTTCATAACCCGCCTTCCACGTGACCCATCATAGCTGGATTTGCTTGTTGTTCAGCGTTATACTGAAAATGGATCCAATTTTCGTGACTTTCAAGTTCATCGGAAAAAAGTAATGCGAGCTTTTTTGTGGTTAAAAGCCAATAATATATAATATTGTGACATTGATATCGATAATAATATTTGCAAAAGTTACCTGAAAATGGATCGATTGCAGAGCAGCTCCCACAGATCTCAAGTAATAAAGCTCATCATGAAGAGGAAGGACTAAATGAGCAACACGAAGATGGCATTGAAGATGATGAAGCTCGTTTCACCTCACAAACATTTATTCTTATGTTACCTACTAGACATAGTGAGAACAACACAATTAATGAAGTTCTCCATCGAATGTAACATGATCGTCTTGTGCATGAAAATTGGCTGCATAATGAGGATACTCCAGTTGATGAGTTTCATACTCCCAGATACATAGTACAAGCATTCCCTATACTTTATCCTTGAGGTATCACAGACTACTATGAACATCGAGTAAAAGAAGTAAAACCGGCAGAATACTTTAAACACCTTTTAATCTACAAAGATGGCTGGTTCGCTCGTCATCCACGATGGCGTTATTTTGCATTAAATACAATAATGAGATGGAGAGCATTATCAGAAGGTCGTATATTCGTCCGACAAAATTTAGATGAAGGGCAACTTACCATAGCTGAAATCTTGGATTTAATAGAAGCCAATAACAACATTATAGACCAAGTGTTACATTATGGTGAGGAATTACGTGGTACCCGTCAATATTGAATGCATCGTAGAGCTAAATTAATGGATATGATAAAACAGGTAGGATCCCAAGGAATGGTATTCTTCACGTTTAGTGCAGCTGATATGCATTGGCCGGATTTATACAACTTCATACCTAGCGGAGGAAATCCTGTAGAAGTAGAATCAAATCAGGATGCTGCTAGGCGTCGACATAAGGATCTTATAGATAATCCCCATATTGCTACATGGTTTTTTGAAAAGTGGTTTAAAGTCTTTTTTGAAAAGGTTCTTATACCTAAATGGGGATTAGTTAAGTAGTGGTATCGCTTCAAATGGCAGCATTGTGGTAGTGTCCATGTGCATGGTATTGTCAAGAGAAAAGATGCACCTGAAATTGATTGGGAAAAAATGAGTGACAATGAGGAGATAATGGAAAATGTTGTGCATTACTTAGATTCTTTAATTACAACGATCAATCCTGGTCTAGATGTACCTTTTCCTGATCATCACCCATGTCAAAAGTGCCTTGAGGATTTCAATGATGATACAGCGGACTACATTGAGCTAATAAACAAATTACAGCGTCATACATGTTATGGTTCCTACTGTCTACGAATTGACAAAAAAACTGGTGAACAGAAATGCAGATTTGGTTTCCTAAAGAGTTAACAAGTCAAATAACTATTCAAAACAATAGTGGTCGTCTAGAGTTAACAACAGCCAGAAATGATCCATTTGTAAATTCACATGATCGTATTCAACTTTAGGAATGGAGGGCAAATGTTGATTTGAAGCCCATTCTCACACAACATGCTACTTTACAGTATGTGTCAAAATATGCTAGTAAAGCTGAGTCGCGATCTTTGGCTTTTTCAGAAGTTTTAGATCAAGCTCTTCGTAATGATAATCCAAATGATCCAAGTATTAAAGCATTCCAAAAGTTGCTTATTCATACAGTAGGGGAATGTGATTATTCAGTACAGGAAACTTGCCACCTTCTTCTTTAAATACCACTTTACCACAGTAGTAGAAATTTTGCTAGTTTAAATCTTAATAAAGAGACAAATCGGTGGCTTCATGACAGTGAACATAATGAGAACAATGAAGTTAAAAAAAACAGATCCCTCACCTTTGCAAAGATATTGCAGTTGATCTACTGAATTTAGTGATGTGTCATTGTTTAGATTGTATTTGCAATATAAGTTAGTCAGAGGAGAGTGGATAAAATGCAGCAAAGAAAACATTGTACGTATCTGGCCACGACCATCTTCAATCAAAAATGGTCCTCAGTGGGAAGAATTTTGTCGCGTAAAAGTTTTCTTACATGTTTGTTATAGAGACATTCTTAGCCTTACAGAGAACCATACACTTTCATGGATAGACTTATATAACCATCATCTTTCAGAAATCAATGATGATCTTAGTGATTTAATTGGACCTGCTGTGGATAATCTTGAGGAAGTTGATGGTA